CCACTACTTGTTTTAGTTTCAGTGCCCTTTTCACAGAAGGGTCCATGTCATAAAAAAAGACAAACACGGCCTTAAATAACTGGAAATTTTTTGTAAGGTTATTTAATATCAATTTGTTTTCTCATACTGCTTCTTTTATGTCTTCTTCCTCATTGTCTGGCACTAATTCAGAAGCGCTCACCTCTAACAAGTTCATCTTCTGTTAATTCTTCTAGCAGGGTGTCTATTAACTCTTCAATTTATCCAAGATCTATATCTTAAAACCCTTCTCCCATCACCTTTGTGTGTGTGTGTGTGTGTGTGTGTGTGTGTGTGTGTGTGTGTGTGTGGGAGAGAGAGAGAGAGAGAGAGAGAGAGGAGAGAGAGAGAGAGAGAGAGATGGACCCTTCTGTGATACAGACACCAAAATTAAAATGAAAAGTGTAAGTAAGATTGCTACTGTATGATATATTTTTAGATAAATGAAAAAGCAAAAAAGTCAGATTGAAATTATGGTGTACAGCATTTATGTAAAGTTATACTTCCTTGTATAACAATGACACAATCTTTAATGGTGTGGTCTTTCCAGGCTTTCATTATGTCCTCTCTCTTGAAGTTCTCTTCTGTAGTGTTGACAATCCTTTCCATATAATACTGTGTATAATGAGAATTAGAGATGCTGTGTTTGGGGGAAAGGAAACTTCTTCATCATCATTGTTGTCCTAGAATTGCAGGGCTGGAAGGGACCCTATGGGTCATCAAGTGCAACCTATCAAGGATAGTGGGGAACTGAACTCCCAAGGTCTGGCTCCACAGCCAGATACCTAAACCACTGGGCTAACTTCGACATGTTCAGTGTTGAATTTATGGGGTACTGGGTGGTCCCCAGAATATTTATTTATCAAAATATGTATTATGTATTTTTAAAAAATCTACGTATAACCAAAGCTGTGCTGCTCGAACCTATGCATTTCAAAGAAGTGTAGTACTGTAGCTGTAGTCATAGTCACCATTTCAGCAGCAGCTGATGGTGGTGGTGGTTTTCAGCAGTATCAGATTTCTACCTTTTGTAAAATTTATACCCAAAGTGACTTAAATGAGAGGACAGGTTATTTTCTCCTTGGTTTGAAAGTTTTCTCATTTTGTTATCAGGCTTCATCTTGAGCATCAAACAAAAGCCACCTGGCCATCAGTTGCCCTCTTTGCTTTCCATCAGGCCTATGTAGGGCCATCACTCAATGGAAGAGTGAACACTTGGTATGTGGGAAGGCCCAGTTTCAATCCTTGGTCTCTCGTGGTTCATCTGGAAGATGGTTTCCTTCTGTGTTTAGTCCCATGAAAAACAAACTTATTTGAAGAAAAATGGAAAGTGAAACAGGGCTGGCTAAAAATGTTTAGGCCTCTAGCTTCCAGGTTGGGGGTTCAGTTCCTCACTGTCCCTCCTTGACACGGGCTGGACTCAATGATCCATAGGGTCCCTTCCAACTTTGCAGTTCTAAGGTGGTGGTGGTGGTGGTGGTTACTATTCAGGTCCCATGAAAAACAAACTTATTTGAAGAAAAATGGAAAGTGAAACAGGGCTGGCTAAAAATGTTTAGGCCTCTAGCTTCCAGGTTGGGGGTTCAGTTCCTCACTGTCCCTCCTTGACACGGGCTGGACTCAATGATCCATAGGGTCCCTTCCAACTTTGCAGTTCTAAGGTGGTGGTGGTGGTGGTGGTTACTATTCAGAAACACAAGTAGGGTCCCTTCCAACTTTGCAGTTCAAAGGCGGTGGTGATGGTAGTGGTTACTATTCAAAAACACAAGACACAGTCAAAATTATAAAAGCATTGACTGGAATTACGTATAGAACAAATACAAATTTTAACCAAAACCTAAGTATCTGTTAAATATTGGCACAGTATGTATGCTGTTCCTAATAGTGCGTTTTTTGTAGCTCTGATGATGTGATTTTTGACATCTGCAACTGCTTATAGTACTGTGTGAAATTTATTGATATTGTTCCCAAAGCCCCAATGACTATGGGGACTACTGAAGTGTGTTTCTTCCAGAGGAGAGATGTTTCGATTGCCAGGTCTCTGTACTTTGTTAGAATTTTTCCAATTCTTTATTTCAACTCTGGCATCCCCTGGAATTGCAATGTCAATGATCTGGACATTTCATCGTTCTATTACTACTACCGGTATGTCTGGTGTGTTATGTTCAAGGTGTCTATCCGTTTGGATCCGGAAATCCCACAAGATCTTGACTTCCTCATTTCGTGACACCTTCTCTACCTGATGTTCCAACGGGTTTTTGGAGGCTGGCAAGTTAATATTTTTTGCATAATGACCACTGCACTAACTTTGCCACTCTATCGTGTCTAACTTTGTAATCTGTTTGTTTAATCTTTGGACATTCGCAGATGAGATGTGACACAGTTTCATCTTTTTTCTTGGCAGAGTCTACATTTGCTATTATTTATTTATTTATTTATTTATTTATTTAGCGTCTACTCGGGGTGGCTTACAAAATCAGAAAATATCATAAAAAGACAATAAAACATGACAATCAGAATAAACGACATTCATAATCATAAGAGCTTAGCATTCATCACATTGGTTTGGAGTGTTTGTTCTTGTGCAGCAAAATTCAAGCCTTTTGTTTCTTTTTTAACGGTCTCCAGTTTAAGCCATGCCCATGTTGAATTATGATCATGCTTTCTATCAATATTTCCCAGGCGTTGTCCATGTAGTGGTTTATTTTTCCAGCTGTTTAATTTCTTTTCAAATTGTTGTTTCCTATATTGAGCCTTGGTTTCAGTTGTTTTAAAAATATTCTCCATTTTCACTGCTTTCAGTAATTTTTCTCTGCTTGTACTGATATAATCATTAAGTCTTCTATTTTCTTCCTCTGCTACCTCTTGTATTTGCAGTAATCCACAGCCTCTGATTTTTCATGATAAATATAATTTGTCCACATCACTTTTCAGATGTAGCGTGTGATGCACGTCCATTAGTTTCTGTGTTTTTCGATCCAATTCTTCTAGTTCGTTTTGAGTCCAATCTATTATTCCAGCTGGGTAACTAATTACTGGAATGGCTAATGCATTTAGGGCTTTGATTGTATTTTCCCCATTTAATTTTGATTTTAAGATTTTCCACAGTCTTTTGATATAGTCTCTTTGTGTCAGTTCTTTAACTTTTGTATGCATGATGTTGTCTGCTTCTAGTATTCCAAGGTATTTATAATTTACATCATTTGAGAATGAATTTTTATAATATTGCCATTTTTAGCTCTATCCATCTAGTTTTCATATCTTTCCACGGTATATAGACAGAGCTGCACATTTGTCAATTCCTTTTGTAAGTATGCTGTTATCTGATGATGATGATATAAGACACCACCACCATACCACCTACAAAAGCTGGTGGCTGAAATTCATTTACAGTAACACTTATGATGAGACAGCATCTTGCAAATTAACGGGAGATTGCAGGGAAGCTTAGAGGGATTGCCTGTCTGTATGGTTTTGGACTTCAATAGTGGGCAATGGGCAGGGGGCTGCCACCATGCCATCTCCACATCACACATAATCTGCCATCTAAATCAACTGCTTCACTCTAATGGTAGAGCCAACCCTGACCTGAAATGCTATTATGTAGAAGGGAAAGACTTGTATGTTGGTGTCCCAGGGAGCAAGACAAGATCTAATTTAGACAAGGATAATGTTTGGTTAAATGTTAGAATATAATATTAATGTCCCCTGCTTATTTAACTTATATGCACACTACATCATGTGAAAGGCCAGACTGGAGGAATCCCAAACTGGAATTAAGATTGCCAGCAGAAATATCAACAACCTCAGGTATGCAGATGATACCACTCTGATG